GGTCGCCACTTGGACTTTGTAATTTTCAAAACTCAATAAAAACAAATGGCATAGCATAAATTTTCAGTTAATAAAAATAAAATCTAAATAGCATTAATGGAGTTTTTATTAAAGATTAAAATGTGGGAGATCATTTTGCCGGACCCTGTATAAACACATATCATGTTCTCAGTATTATCTGCTAATTTATTTTTTTGTTTCAGTTGTACCGTATATCGGAGCAATAGTAAGAACTTATTATAAATACGTGCTTTTATTTACACTATGGTTTGTAAAGAAATGGCCTGTATTAGCATGGTTATCAATTGGCAAAAAAAATTCTCATATTAATCTGTATTAATAATATGATCGAATAATTATATGCTCTTGCTCTTTTTATCTTTTTATATATTCATACACACACACACACACACACACACACACACACACACACACACACACACACACATATATGTGTGTAATATCGTATTATATCTAAATAACAAGAAGAAACTAAATCTAATTAAATTTTTAATGTATATATATATATATATTTTAATGTGTTCTAATCAGTTTTTTCAAAATCTAATTTTTGAATATTTATTATTTTTGGATATTATTTTTGAAAATTCAATTCTGTGTACTAATAAGTTATTAATAAAGAAATAAACAGTATATCATATTTATTTTTACAAGAATTTTAAATTTATTTGCTATTGTATTTCTGAAATAATCTAGTTTTCGTTTGAAATAATAAATCAAATCGACGTTGATTGATTAATATTATTTCTGGTTGGGAATATATTTTGCTAACACAATATTCATTTATAAAATACTATTTAATAATTACAAAAATCATCTATGCTATCCAATAAGAAATTGGCTTTTTAGTTTGGAGAAAATTGATCTTTAATAAAGTAGTTTATTATAATAGCTATTATATAATAATAGTTAAATAGTCTTACCTTGCATTATCATTGATTACTTAATAATCAAGATAATTTTTATTCATTTATTATAACCTTGCGTGTATTGGCTGTGTTCATAAAATTAGCAATTACCTTATCTAAGATAAGTTTTTTTTCTAATCTAATAATGTATGCAGTACGAAGTGATCGTTAAGCTGCTTTTTATACTGAACGCAATCATTAAAATTATCTGTGTAATGTATATATCTTAATTGTTTTCAGATATAAGACCGAAAATGTAATTCCAAAACTTTAAACCAATTATAAATGCTGCAAAACATTATTATTTAATTAGTTACAATAATAAATTAGAAATAAGATTATGAATAAATCAACTAAATAAGAGAAGCACCACTTACAGTTAAAGTCTCACACACACACACACACACACACACACGCGTGCGCGCGCAGTTGTTGTGGTAGAATAATATATCTATGTCACTCCGTATGGATTTAAATAAATTTAGAGGACACAGGATAGAAAACAAGGATATTAAATTTGCATTTTCGTTGGACATTCACATGTCGTAAGCTTCATTTCATCCTTCTAATGTAAATCACAAAGTTAAAATAAAAGTTACAGTACGTGAACGTCCAAATCGAATCAGTCCAATCCTTGACATTATTAAAATAAAATTGAAGGATAAATCGAAAAAAACTACGTAAGAAACCTGTTCTGCAATTTAACATTTGCACTCTTAATGCTCTACTATTTCACATAATAAAATTATTTACAAATTTCAATAAGTTTGTTAGCATTATTAATATCTTCCCAAGAAGTCTATAAACATCAAATCATTATATTATTACTATAGTTCTGTCAAGATTGTGTTTTAAAAGTCCGAAGAATCAACTCGGCGCTCAATTTTCATGATGACGTATGTAATATCGAATTATTAAGCACTTAAGATCCAGCTTCGACTGTTGAAGGCTTTATCTCCTATTGGTTGTGTATTCACATGTACAGTCCAATAAGATTCTTTCTTTAATATTGTTAAATATTGTTACGCAGTTGTTGCAAGAGATACAGTTTTTAAAATAATTAGATACCGTTACAGTTATTTGAAGATAAATGTAACTAGATACAGATACAGATATTACATGTTTATGAGTAACTAGATACAGATACATTTATTTTAGAAATAAATTTAAACACTTGTACAGATACATAATTTTATTTCAAATGTCTTTGTTTTTTTTTCAGCGTAAGTACACTGAGAAAAAATGCTGTAAAATATATAAAAAGATAGATTGAATCAATTAAATATCACGGGCTGTCACAAACATAAGTAGTTAATTCAATCTTTTGTTATTGACTTAATTTTAATCTTTTTATTTGTAACAATAACATATCAATTTGACTTAAAAACATATAATGATAAATTAGAACCATGTTGAATTGAAGGAACATTTCCTTATGTTGAATCAATAGTTGAATCAATAGTTAATCAATAATCGAATAGTTGTGTAAAATATTTATAAAGTTGACGGAACTACATTACAAACTAACAGGAATTCAATAAGTTGTTGCTAGTATTAATTCCTAAATAAATTCAACTTTATATATAAAATACTCTAGACTTTAATATAAAAAGATTTAATATAAAAATGATTTGATGTTTATAGACTTCTTGAGATCTTAATAATGCTGACAAATTTATTGAAATTTGTAAATAATTTTATTATATGTAATAGTATTAATGTAATTGTAGAGCGTTAAGAGTACAGATGTTACAGAACAGGCTTTTTACGTAGTTTTCGATTATTTTATCCTTCAATTTTACTTTATGTCAAAGCTAATTCGGTTTGGGCATTCACGTGCTGTAACTTTTATTTTAACTTTATATATAAAATACTCTTCATATATAAAATAAATTCGACTTTAAATTAGTGTAATTGATTCGAATGTTACATTTTCTCAAAAAATAATTGTTCTTAATTTTTATGTAAAGTTCTTCCTTCATTATTCTTATGTAGAATTATTATGTAGAATTATTGTATAGTTTTACATACAGTTTATTAATATATGTAGTGTCATACATATAATATAAAATATTCAAGTTTTATAATATTCTCACTTTTAATCTTTCAAATCTTCGCAATTTTTTAAGAATCAATTTCAGGATTTTTTTTAATTTCATCAACGCCGATCTTGATCGACCGATTTAATGATTTTGAGAGTTGTCAATACTAAACTAAAAACTTATCATCTGTAGCTCAATTTCTTATGAACTCACTCATTAGCCAAATTAATTTCTGCTTAGATCACGTAATTATAGCGTATTCGAATTATTGACTCGACCCGACTCCGAGCCAACTCTGGTCTGTTCTTTTTAATTGCATTTCTTGCACAATTTAGCTTTTTTTTTAGCAAAACAGAACAGATCTTGAACAGAACAGACCTTGAACAGAACAGATATTGACTCGCGTCGAGTCAGTAAATAAAATACGCTACTTGTTGAGTTACTCTGAAAACTACTTACGTATCTAAAATATTTTTTAGATACATTTTAATAAGATACAAAATAAAACATAACTGGTTATAGTTACGGAGTTAAGAAATGTAACTATAGTTACATACGCAGATGCACAAAAAGTATTTAAATACAACGACTAGATACATATATCTAGATCACTGTTTATAGTAGAGTATTACATCGGAAATTTCTCTTTATATTATATAATTTTTAAATGAATATATAAAATATCTTACTTTATTCACTTTCCAAAATTTTCTTTGATTTTAATGTTTTATAGAAATATATTTTATAAAAGTTGTATAGATTTTGTTTTAGTTGTAAGGACGTAGATAATAGTAAAATCAATTTTTCAAGATCATATGAAAATTATTTTCTCTTTTTAAATAAAATTGTATAATTTTTGTTACATAATATGATCCCTCTAATTATTCTGTACAGAAGATATTGAATTGTTCTGTACAGAAAGTGAAAAATTAAACTCAATAAAGAGAGTTAGCAGTATATTAAGAGTAACATGATGTACCTGCTCTCGTGCGAAAGGAGGAGTATGCCAGTGAAGGACGCTGCTTGTCACATTCTTTAGTATCAAGTTGTTCGCTGAGCAAGAATACACGCGCTGCTCTGATCTGCAGTCTCGCATTTCATCTATACTCGTATTCCTACTATAAAATCTTTTGTTGATTGTGATTTAATAAAATTGTGACTTAATAAAATATACAAAGTAGTGAAATGAGGAAGATACATATTGACGATGGTAAGGCAAAATTTTATTATTTTTAATTAAACATGTATTAAACACAGAAAGAATAGTTTTTGATCGAAGCAGTGGTTGAAGTTCTCTGAATTTCAAAGAGTAAATTTTATTGTGCGCCTTAAAGAGTTTCAATTAAATAGAATATAATTTCAATTATAATAGAGTGATCACGTATTATGCAGATGAGTGCATCATTAGTGCTTAATTATCACATATTCAGAATATTTCGTCATCGAGTTCTGCGCCAATTAAATATATTGATTAAACTAATTAATGTATATGTAATCGCAAAAACGTGATAATTGAATATACATTAGACTTTGCGCCGAACATTATAGCAATTAAATATAATCGTTGAACGTGTTTTACATTAAATCTTGTACCATATATAAAAATTATACATAACTATATTGTATTAGAATACTAATACTCTTAAAATTTTTTAATCATCTTTTAGTTATCAATTTTATCTACCTTTAGTTATCTCATTACTTATAATTTAAAATTACATCTTTCTTTTACTTCACTTAGCGTCAACAATAATATAATAGCAATACTATTAAATTTAATATTTTATATTTCAAAAATATTATACTTACTTTTTTATTAAATAATATATAAAGATATTTTAAAATAATCTAAAGTCATATCAATCATTAACAAGAACTATTCCTGATCATACTTGATATATGGTCTTGATATATCAAAAATATGTATCATCATTCGTAATTTGAATTTTTTAGTATTTTATCTATGTAAATTATTTTTTTGTCACTGTAAATTATTTTATTTATGTAAATTATTTTTTTGTCACTGAGGATGCCTTAATACGAGTCAAAACGTATGCAGAATTGTTTCGAATTCGTTAAATAATCTATTAATAATCTGTACTACTTCCTAATCTATATAGTAATCGAATTCATTAAATTATATGAATAAAATCGCAAGAACAATTGGCATTTATTGTTTTTTTGCATATAATTTAAATTTTAATTAAGTAAAATATCTAATATTTAATATATAAGATATCTAATAATTAATTAACTTACTATATCTAATATGTGTAAAGTGTTCAAAAAATTACTAAACAAATACATTATAAAATTATATTTTATTTTATTTGAAACCTAAATACAATATATTGTAGAAGAATTATAACGTGTTATTTGAATAATTCGTTTATATAACTTTACATAAAGTGAAAGTATGTTATCTTTTTGCAAAAAAGGTGTGAATATGTCCTCATTTTTTACAAGTGTCTTAATCACCTTCAAAGTGTAGTGACTCTCAATGTAAATCATTGCACCATTATAACAGATTCTAATTTAGCTGTTAAGACCCGGGGTTGCATCGTTACTTTAAGCAAGGCTTGAATCTCTCTCTCTCTCTCTCTCTCTCTCTCTCTCTCATTTTAAAGCCGAAAAAGAGACAGAGGCAAAGAGAGTTTTAAGTCTCGCTTAAAAAGTAACGTTAGTGCAATCGGGCTTAAAATAAATAGAATTAGAATCCATTATAATGCAATGATTTATGTGCAAAATAATGAGCAGAATTAGTTTAAGCATTGCAGAAATTATCAAGTTTTGCATACATATAAATTTGATAGGAGCTACTTAGTTTAACAAAAGTTTTGTTTGCTTTGATTTATTATTTCGCTATATATTGCACTATACAAAGTCTTTTTTATAGACGCAAGAAATAATTAAAATAAATACTTATCTATTCATTTATTCATACTTATCTATTCAATATTTATTTACTTATTCAATACTCATCTATTTATTCAAATTTATTACTTTAGATAATTTTATTTTTAGATAATATTAAAAATTTTAAGTATCTTACCATTTTTTGTAAGCATCTTATTTGTTTTTTATTTTCAGAGTTCAGTGACGCTGTTTTACGAATAAAATATATGTATGATCGATAAATTTGAATAATTTATTTATTAATATTAATTTAAAATCTTGTGTCGAATAAAAGTGATTCATGCAAAAATTAATAATTTCCGCAATACTTAAACTAATTCTGCTCATTATTTTGCACATAAAAATAGTGAAATGTAACTACCAAAAAGTGAAAAAATATTACTACTTTATTCAAAATTTTAATATAAAATGTAAAATAACACTTGCAATACATTCTTAATAACAATGGAAAAGCCTTCTTGATGCTTCCATGGGTGCTTTCTATATAACTAATCTGTGCTTCGCGGGTTTTCTCCATGTCTTGGCTGCTCCTCGCCCTGATGAAGTGGACTGCAAGGCCCACGAAACGTTGGCACATCAAGAATGGACCAAGACATGGAGAAAACCCGCGAAGCACAGATTAGTTATAATGGAAAAGCCATTATAGAAATGCTGAAATAATTTAATATTTTAACATCAGGAATACTATGAATTGTAACAAATTTTACTTAAGAAAAAGACATAAGATTAAACAAATTAAAAACCATTATTTTGAACAAAATATAAATATATATTGCAAATGTATTAGCGAGTTTGTGTAAAAAATA